TACAACACACTGCTCAGTCATTTTGTAAAATGGCTAGGTATTTTGTAAAATGCCTAGGCATTTTGCAAAATGACTGGAGAGTCAGTCATTTTGTAAAATGCCTAGGCTTTTTGCAAAAAGCCTGGAAAATCAGGCATTTTGCAAAATGCCTAGGCATTTTACAAAATGACTGATTTTCTAAAGTGCCTGCAACATATACATGTAGGATAGGTGGTTAGGTTTTAGGACAATGCAATGCAATACAATAGGTCATTTTATGCCAGGCCAGGTCAGGCTAGGCTGGGTTCTTTCGCGGCACGAACTTTTGTCATCACGGGGACGATTGACGAGACCGATGCGGCCAGGTGCCAGTTTCACCGCTAGGTGGCAGTGCCCGTTACACGGTGTCGCCTGAAGACGGCGCTGACGGTCAGTGTCAATTCGTTCTTCCTGACCCATGACATGCTGCGTTGTTCGCAATGAGCTTATCCTGCGCCCGGTCACCACTTTCATGCTCAACGGCACCACTTTCATGCTCAACGGCACCACCTTCAACGACGCGGCTTAGTTCGTTGTATATCCCCTGCGTTGCCGTTGCCGAAAAAGAGGTGGCGCCACACAGTATGGCATAGGGCACTTGAACAGGCCCGGGATGGTTGGCAAAGTCGCTACTAGCAGTGCATGTCACATTGATATGCCTAACTTTTGCACTGATGAAACTAATATGCAGGTGGTTGCTAATTGCTATGCCTTTCGACCTCTCTTGCACCTATTTCTTCCATACACTGCTCGGCACATAACGATGCATCACTCTCCAATCACCAATGCATTAATGTGACGCATGGTGAGCGGATAGACCAGCTTATTCAGACGAGCCATTGTTGATGGGCCATTTGGAAAGGGTCGCAACTCGCAGCTTCTGCGGTCTGTCATTCAGACTCGGTTTGAACTACCTATGGCGAGATCGGCTCAGGACTCTGATCGACTTGGGCGTTACCCCCGAGCACCTTGCGGCTTGCACCGACCTTTGTAGGGTTATCGGAGGTGAATGGAGAGGCCGAGTTGTGTCACCGGACCGGGCGCACCAGAAGGTCAGGTAACCCGGCTCCAGCGGAGGCAGACTGTCGTGTCGGAGACCCCCACAGTCACTGGAGGCGGGCCACTCAGAAAGTGCCGGCTGCTGCAGCGGAGGTACAGGGGAGGTACCGAACTACATTGCTCTGGCCTGATCTGGCCATCGTAGACGTAGTACGTACAGAGCCTGCAGTGTTTTTGGAAAAGTTTCTCGGGAACATCCGAGACTTAGAAAAGCAGGGGAGAAGACCTGACCGAATGAAAAAAAAACTGAGAAGACCGACTGAATAGTTTTTGTCCAATAACTCGAATATCCTCCGCTCGAAGTATTACGATGTGTCTTTTAATCCCATAGCTTTGTTTTTCTACATTCCATTTTACATGCAATAATGGACGCTGAAGCAGCAATGATTGAACTGGCTTACAAAGCTGAAGAAAGCTACTACCACCGATTTAATAGTTTGAACCTGAAGTGAGATTTAGACCTAATGGCTCAGGACTTTATGAACTAAGAGAGCTGGGAATGTCACTTAAGCACTTATCTGATACACTTAAGTTCTGATAAGTTTTAACCCTGGCCGGACCGATCGGTTTTCACTCAGAATAGCTGTGGCTCGCGGCATGGGTGGAGAACCTGCCCCGGCCACCCCGGCCGTGGCCGGGGTAACTTTCAGTCTACCCCGGCGCGGCCGGGGCAACTTTTCCACTCTTGTAAATCCTAAAAAGCTGTCTCCATACGAGCAAAGAAAACTCTCCCTCTTCGAATGTTGACTTCCATGGGCATACCATTGCAAATCAGGTAGGTATTTATGATTTACTTAACTTGCCATAATCTCCAACCCTAGGACCCGCTTGTGGTCGCCACTGCCAACTCAAATCCTGTTCACTGTTCAGTTTCGAAAATTTCGGGCGGCGGAGCTGCAGCGTCGCTAAAATCTTACCGACTCCGACTCCGGAGTTGGAGTTAAGACTGCACGGCTCAAAGCCATGCCTTGCACCTGGTTGCTTGACGATTTTTCTTTCGTTGACCTTTCAAAATCAGGTTTTGTTGTATATAAGGACCTCTTTTGGACCAATGTTTTTATTTTAAAAAGCTGAAGAAGGCCAGGAAGAAAGCTGCTGCGTCAAAACCTGTTTTTATTTTGCACGCTATTTCAAGAGTAGGTACTCATTTGCAATACAGGGCCTTGGAGCGCGTAAAATTTCGTTTCAGGCAAGATGAAAAATATCCAACCTAAAGTGTGATTTCATTATATGGACTTAACCCGCGCCCTGGTGGGGTCTGTTTATAACGCGACCTGGTGGGGGGGGGGGGCTATTTTTTGCCCCCCCCCCCCTCGTATCTCCGAAACTACAGGACGGATCCGCAAAATTCAAACGGCGTTCGAAAGGCCTTTCAAATTTGTCGAAGGAAACCAGATTTCATTGACCTCGGGGTCACCGATGACGTCACAGGTCAGGTCAAAGATGAAATGTTTCACCGTTCACGGGTCTTCTAGGGAATGCGCTATAACACCGAGGAAAACGCATTTTGTCGAGAATCAGCGGTAGGGCGTCAGTTGCCTAGTAGATATGTTGCTATTAGAGGTCACTGGCAATACCAGGTCAGGTCACAGGTCAGGTCACCAAGGGTCACAGGTCAGGTCACATGAGCCCAACTTTACTAAGGTTGTGTGATACATGTTTTATGGCCAATTTTTCATTTCCAACTCAATGGTGTTGGTTATAAGACTATCAGGTACGGCTTAGGTCACGTTCTGGTGAAGTTAAGGTCAAGGTCAGGTCAAGGTTAGGCCAAAAAAGGTCAAATTTTAAAGTTGATAGTTTTGCATAAAATGAGTATTGATTCGATGCAGCTCGTCACGGGGAGTCTAATGGTGGTCTTTGTTTTGCGCTACGGGGTCTAGAATTGCTAAAAATTTAGTTTGAAAATTTGACGTCATCAATTTTGAACAGTTTTTTCGCTATAACTTCGCCAAAAAAGAGGTATCAACCTCAAATTTGGTATGTGGATGGAAGGCGGTAAGGAATATCACATATATTCCGGTTTTTGCGAAATTCGAAAAAAAAACTTTTTGGATTTTTCGATTATTATATCCAAAAAATCTATTTTTTGATTTTTGGGGGTCAAAATCCAAAAATTTCGAAAATCGGAGATAGTTGTTTTGTAGCCCTGTCCAATCTACAGCTTTTATGTCTTATCATTTTTCTGTATTTGCAAAGCTATAGGCCTGACAGCTCTTCCCGCGAGACCCTTTTTTGGGTCGAAAACGGCAGAACATGACGTCACTCTGACGTCAATTCCGGCCAACCTATCATAGCCTTTGGAAAATTTTTTGGTCACAATGTGTAAAATTGATGTCCGGGAGGGTACTGAAAGTTTGGTGACGATCGGCGCAGCGGTTCTGGAGATATATCGAAAAGTCTGGAGGGGGGGGCAAAAAATAGCCCCCCCCCCACCAGGTCGCGGGTTAATGAGCAATGCCCGGAGTCGGAGCTGGAGTCGGAGATGGAAATGGAGTCGTCGATTTTTGAAGCCGGAGTCGGGGTCGGAGTCGGAGTCACCTTAAAATCTATCGACTCCGCACTCCGCAGCCCTGTTCAGAATAGCACTGGTTGTTTATGACGATCGTTGACAACAACGTGAGCATTTCGTCTTTCCGACTATCGGTCGCCGGCCGGGGTAACTTTTTCAAACATTCTCCACCCATGGCTCGCGGGGGTGAGCGGTTACGCTCCCCCCCCCCCTTTCACCGGTTCGCCCCTTGTTGAGCAAGAGCTTCGCGGAAAAAATCAACCATGTCGTCGACTTAGCGCCTGGTACCTGCCTAATTTAAATGTATCAGGTCAACTGATGATCTTTGAGGTCAGGTCAAAGATTCGGAAGAAGGGATCCGATTTTTTTTTTTGTAAATAACTTCTTAAAAATGATCACATCAGCCACGTCGAATGGTACACTTTTCGGGATATTTCAGCTGGGACTGCGTACGTAGGTAACAAACAAACAAGGACGACAGTGCGTGACGTCACTTTGGCAGTGCGTAGCTTTGGCTTTCGGCCGCCGCCTCTAAACTGTTTGACCTGGGCCCTGTTTCATAAAACGACGCTACAGCACGCTGGCGGCATCATGGTACTGGATTTCTGTGGAAACATCAACAAACTCGGACGCTCTCCCATGTTAGAGCGTCCGACTGTGTTGATGTTTCCATGGAAACCCAATAGGTACCACGATACGCATAGCGCGCTGTAGCGCCGTGCCGTAAAGCAGGGCCCTGCAGGCGAGAGCAGAAACATCACTGCGCCAAACAAACACGGATAAACACAGAGGCTCCTTGCTGACAGAGAATGTTTGGACTTTTGTATGTAAGCATAGCTATATGTGGCTGTATTACTAGCTTTGAAAGATTTGCCTTAAAAGCTGAAGTAGGTAAGTTTCATGAATTATGGCAAATGGTAAGGTAAAGGGTGACAAAAAAGGAAGTCTTGTCTTATGATTGATAGGTATTAGGTACAGGTATAGGTACATTCTTTTGCCTTTTAAGTGCGAGGTGATGACATCTTAAAATAACTCAAGCTTGCAACTTGTTTTTCTCAACTCAGCATAGATTTGTATACTTTGTGCAATGTGCATGCCTTGTACTGAGCATCACCATAACATTGCGTGTCAGACATGCCTACCCAAGTTTTGGTATAGCGTTCCCGTCGACCCAGATCTGGTCGCACGTCGTCCCGGAGGCGCAGTGAGCGGCCGACGGTGCTGTCGGGGGGCAGTTATCGGTGCGTTGGCCAGTGATCTTTGTCCGGGTCCGCTGGGCCAGTGCGGCGGCGCGCGCCGTGTCGTGCCGCGCCGCCAGTGTGTGAGTGTCGCCGGCCGGCCGCGCTCTGCCCCCTCCCCGGCGCCGCTGGTGCTGACCGCGCCCGGGCCGCGCCCCGCCATGTGGCTGCAGCAGCTGGACGCCGACATCATGTGGATGCGCACCGCCGAGGCGGCCGCGCTCACACACGAGGCGGTGGCCGAGCGGCTGCGCGTCGACCCGCAGCACGGCCTCAGCTGGGCAGAGGCCGGCGTCCGACAAAAGGTCTACGGCACCAACAGCTTCGAGGTCAAAGACGCCGACCCGCTCTGGAAAAAGTACCTCGAACAGGTGAGGAGCTCTAGGCTTTGGATGGTCTAAGATGTAATGCTTGCGGGCGGTACTGATTTAAATTTGGGGAAAACATTGGTTCAGTCACTTTTCTGTTGTTGTTTACTTTCTTGAACTGACTCGATTTCGGCAGAAAGGTATTTTTCGAGAAATTGGTTTCCTTTGAATGGTCATTTAGCAGTACATACTACATACCTATTGTTCTGCCATTTCGTTTTTTTTTAAACCTTTTTTCCGAATTGGATTCTGACAAAGATCTTGCAGTACGGCCGAACCTTGACGCCTTTTATATTTAACGATTTACGTCTGCGATGTCATTCCTTTATCAACATTTGCGACTGATACCGATTGATCCCAGTGTTTGTCATCCGCCCGCACTGGGAGTGTTCTGTGTTTATCGTTCTCGAGATAATTCCTCCTTTCATAGATATGCATGCCTATCGGATAAACGAAGCTAAAAAAGCAAACCGTGGGTAGAAGAACACAAAGGCTGAGGCGGCAGTGACAATGAGACGATAGCCCAAGAAACATCGATGTTTTAGGGATCAACGTAACATACGGTTTTATTACGATAAGTAGATTGAATGATACTCGGACCGCTGAAGGTGATAATTGGGCATGCAAGTCGTCAAAGATGGAAAATATTTTTTAAAAGCGATTTTAACAGATAAGACAACTTTTACTTGAAACCTCATTGCAACCCCCTCCCTCCATTGAGCAATGAGCATGCATCGCATAGTGCAACGTAAATTCACGGACAGGTGCTTTCCAAACTAGCAAAAGAGAGAAACTATAACAAATTGACGAACAGATCTTTACAACTGTTTTGGACGACCAGCGTTGATACAGAGGACACAATCAATTACGCATCGCTGGATACGTTTCAACCTTTCATTTAGCTTATGATGTCTTTTCTGGCCCGGCTGACACAAGCATGTTGGGGGGAGGGGAGGGGGCGGTGCCGGTGCACCGAGTACGCGCTGTTTGCTCGGATGGTGGGTCCGAGGGTCCACACAAGATGCAGAGCATGCATACTGCCCCGAAGTCGTCTATGTACACGAATTTATAAAAGGGAGGGGATAAGGAAGTCGTATATTGTCGTTTAGCCCTCGCCATACCTAATGGTTTTCTGCATACGGCCGAGGGGTGGGGGTTGGTAGTGGTACGACCCCCGGCGTTTCGCCCCCTAATAGAGCTAGAGCCTCGCGGAAAAAGAGCGTGTTCTCCGTTACGAGAAGCAGCGATTGGTGCCCTATTTTAAGAGCTCAGATCAACCGGTGGCCTCTGAGATCAGGTCAAGTGGCTCAAGTCACGGGTTCGGTTTTTGGTCAATAACTTCGCAAAAATTGGCCGTTGAGCCGCAATTCTGGCCTCATCATGTTCGCCTAGCTCAGGCGCGTCGAATGGTACCTATACTTTTTGTTTGGGTGAGGTCAACTTACGGTGTTGACCTCGGGTCAAGGTCAGGTCAGGGCCCCTCAGGCTACGAAGCTGGTCAAAGGAGATCATGCCGCATATCATTCGATTTGGCAGGTCTGCCCGAGTCCATAGGTGGCTTTCCCGACTCTCTAGCTCAATTTAATCGGGAGTTTTTTGGCGAAAACCCCCTATGACCCTATTGACGTCATAAATGGCGTCACGCAAGGTCAAAAATGCAAAAGTGAAGCATCAGACCTTGCAAGACATGAAATCACGACTCCATGAACTTAGATAGTTTTAGATCATTCCAGGCGCCAAAATGACACTTTTCATATTTCCCCATTGACTTATGATAGTGAGATCACGTGACCGACCTGACCTCGTGTGATATTTAGGAAAAATTGGAAATATACAAATTGTGAGATCTCTGGAGGATACTAGATCCTTTAAGTTTCATCTCCCTGTGAAAGTTCCTCCGGCACTGCGGCGTTGCGATGTTGCGACATCTCAGGACCGTGCAGAGGTTCACTTATGACGTCAAAGGTCAGTGACCTGACCTGACCCGAAAATGCGGTCAGTGTCAAAAGATCCGGCTTGAATCAAAGGTCAGGTATGCCAAGTTTCAGCTCTCTAGCGCCGAGCTATTCCGAGCTATCGCGAATATAAACTGGGCGCCCCCCCCCCCTTCTCGGCCGGCGAGGGATGAATCGTCCCAAACGATGGTTAATTCGTTCCATTTTTGCGTCCCTTAGATTTTTATGCATACGTACCACGTGACTGTTATGGCGTTTACTACATTTATTATCGTATTTATATAAACCACTAGAAATTGTGCTGTCTTGTAGACCGTTTTGTTGTGAGCAGGAAAGATACTACTCGTATTTCTAATTCTGCCAGCATTTGATCAGGAAAACTTGAAAATGCTGAAAGATGAGACATGCTTTGATGGTAAAGCCGTAGCGTACTAATGCTCACGATTCCCAGTGCTGGTTTGTAACTGAGGCTCCATCCCCACTGCTTGTCTCCTTTTGGGGGAAGCGGGGACAGCAGCGCTATATTTCTTATAGTAGTTACACATACTCTGGACTTGTGCTTACCCTGTGCCCTGTGTGTTGCGCCCCTCAGTTTCAGAATCCGCTGATCCTGCTACTTTTGGCATCAGCACTCGTCAGCGTGCTAATGCAACAGTTCGACGACGCCTTCAGCATTGCAGCGGTGAGCGACCCTTGTACCGGTCAGATATTTTTTCCCTCTGGCCGCGGGGAACCTGGATGGTGGGCCCCACTGTTCGCAGGGCGGGAGGGGGGGGGGGCATTTTGTGTGCCGATCAGCTGGGCGGGGGCCCCTCTGTCAACGTTACGGTGTTTTTTATGTTCCGGTCAGATAGGAGATCCATTTGTGCAGCGGATGGTGTGCACATGTTCATTTGTGCACAGATCCATATCTGTGTGCAGCGGATGAAGTTATTTTACCCACATTACCGGTCATTGATAAGCAAGCACGTTTAGAAAATGTGCCGCTATGATTTGAGATAAATTATGTCGATGTGCTTAACCTGAGTTTTTTTTTTCACTTTCCAGGCCATATCAATCGTAGTAACGGTTGCCTTTATACAAGAATATAGGTCAGAAAAATCATTAGAAGAATTGAAGAAATTGGTGCCTCCTGTGTGCCATTGGTAAGTTTTTAAACATCTACCCCGGATTTGGTGTCTTCCGGACGACGAAGATTCTGCGTCGTCCGGCCAATGGCGTTCGAGGTCAGCGGGGGCTTGGCTGTGGTTATCGAACGGGATTGGCCGGACGGCATAGAATGTTCTTCGTCCGAGGAGACTGCGAACGCGCCCCTAGTACCCTAAAACACCATCGCCGTTCTTATGGTCGGCGCCAACCACATAGTTTGGGAGATGAAGCTCTTTCTTTTCGGATGGTTTTTACTAAATATGTCATCGGATTTGAAGCAACAAATTTTAGTTCATTAGCATGGTAGCCTCTAAAATAGGTATCGATGCGATTTCTTCACACGGATTTTAATGCTTCTGAAAAACTGGCCGAAAGCCTAGGAAGTTAAACGCAATAAACTAATACCGTCACCCGCCAGTTTAATGACCAAACATTTCTAGGGAAAGAATAGCACTATCCCATACAGCATCTTAATTAAGCGTCGACATATTATCAAGTTTTCTTCCTAATCGGTCGGGTTGTGTTCACTTTCCATCTCCTACTTTGCACACTGAGGTCTCGTGTTACTGATACTAATCCAGATCACGTCATCGGGCTCACAACCTGCACAGGTAGGACCCACATGGCCTTCCTGAGTGGGCGTGAGCCCTCTATGACCAGCAAGGTCTTCTTCAGATAAGCGCGGTCCTTATCTGCATAATGTACTTGACCGCTGGCCCTGATTTAAGCTGGGTATGTGATCAATGATAGAGCCCGCACTTGGCGCACCTTGTACACCTGGCTTCTGGTTCGCCACGAGGGTATCTAAATATGCAGTTATTGGGAAAAGGTGTCCCAGCTGGGGCTGGGGGTGGTTATTTCCCCGCTGGCCTCTTGCCTTGTGGCATCGGCCATGAGCTATGATTCAGTGCTGCTTCAAATTAAAGGAATATGATTATGTTGGCATTTAACGTACTGAAATATTTTTGTTTTTGTTTTATGGCCATTTAAGATTAATAACATTTTTTCCGTATGATTTTTTTTTTCGATTCAAAAGATTCGATACACATATGAATCACGTAAGCGTGCTATGACCAATGATCATGTATGGATAACATAAACATGGTTTGTGAAATTGCTAGGGGACTGTCCGCCTCTTGCGTCCTGTCTTTTCCATGGCAGCGCGCTCATAATCCATAATATCGTAGTTCATATTTCAATGCTCAATAGGTACAACATTAATTGATACTGAGGCCCGAGCGCCACCCTCTTGTGTATCCGCGCCCGGCGGTATTATTTCGACAGTGTTAGCCGATATATCTAACCGGGCTGCGTCTGTGTCGCAGTCAGCGGTCGGGGCAGACGACGAGTTTTCTGGCCGAGGAGCTGGTGCCCGGGGATGTGGTGCACTTCAGTGTCGGTGACCGGGTGCCGGCAGACATCCGACTGGTGCAGGTCAGTCAGCTGCGACACGGGCAGGGGGACGACGTGGTGGCGTAGTCCACCACAGTCCACCACAAGCTGTGGGAAGGACGAGATGCTGACACCACGATGGATTAGTATAATATTGTGGGCATTGCTGCCAACTACTGAATCACTGACACCAGCTTGGTATGGACCGAAATCAGTTATTTGATTTGCTTTGTTGATGGCTTTGCGTTAGCTCAACATCAAATTTGATCGAATGTAAATTCTCTGCATTTGTTTAACTTTGCCTGCATTTGCCAGCATATCCGAGTAACATGACCTTGCCGACTGTTGACCCGACCGTGTGACCTTGGCAGGGCGTTGACCTGGAGGTCGACGAGAGCAGTTTTACCGGCGAGGCGAAGCCGGCTCGGAAAGATGCCAGCGTGTTGTGTGAGAGCAACGTCACCTCGAAACCCAACTGTCTCTACATGGGTACCCTGGTGCGGTACGGCAATGGAAAGGTAGGCGGCAGTTCACACATAAACTCCAAACCCCGCTTCCCTTATATTGTGTGTGTGTGGGGGGGGGGGGGGTCGGTACCTGGAACGTTCGGCAGCTCACAGGGCTGGCTCAGCATTGAAGCCAATGACCTAGGCTCATAATTGAAGCAGAACATATGGAGCAGGGTATTTAGGCTGTTCTCGCGAGGCTGTTTGCGTCTAAGGAGCACTGAGCAGTCGGGCCAGTTGTATGTGTCATACGATTGCTGATGTGTGGGGCTTTCTGTTGTCCACCAGGGTATCGTGGTGTCCACGGGCATCCGCTCCGAGTTCGGTGAGGTCTTCAAGATGATGGAGACCGAGGAGTCTCCCAAAACGCCCCTCCAGAAGAGCATGGACGACCTGGGCAAGCAGCTGTCGGCCTACAGCTTCGGCATCATCGGCGTCATCATGCTGGTCGGCTGGCTACAGGGCAAGCCGCTCCTGGAGATGTTCAACATCGGCGTCAGGTGAGCTGTCTGAAGGGAATCCAGGATGATTTTAATGTCAATCCATTGTATTTAGGGCTGGAGTGACGGCCATCGTAGCTAGCGGTAGGCTGACTCGCGCTTTATATACAAAAGGTAATTTTTATCGCTTTAGATGATTATGAGCTATATTTCCTCTAGCCGGTCTGGACGTGTATCTTTAGCCTGGTGGATAAGGCGTCCGTCTATTAGATTACTTTCGTAACTGCGAGTTTGCAGCTGGGGGAAGCATTTAGTTTTTCACCATGCTCTACCCGGGACGACCCTATCTGTCTCCGTCAACCAGTGGCGCGCGTAATTTTCGGTTAGAGTTACTATTCAACTAGTCAGCTAGACGCGAAGGACAAGTTCTGGTAATGGTCCCATTGTGTCATTGGCAACAAGTCGTGCTGGGAGTATATCCGGGTCCAGAGCCACTCACTGAACGATTCGTACGTTTCGCATCATGTTTGCCAAAATACGATGGAAAAATAATGCAATACAGGCGAAACGTGGACCGTCCATGTTGCAGCGTTTAATCGTAATGTTGCAGGGCCGTATCGCCCGCTATCTGTCGGTGGACGGATCAGAGTCCACGGGGGCGGTGGAGCCGGGGTGTGACCGCACGGTCCGAGCGGCCCGAGTGACCCTGACGGCACACTTGAGTGCCGCTTAGATCAGCAGTACGGACTGCAGTATCCCTGCGTCCAATGTAGCCGTGTCGGAAAAGTTGTCAATATCGCCCCGGGTGCAGATAATATCAATGTGGCACACTTGAGCTACCGATAGTGACCGTCTTTACCCTCGATATACATAGAAGTAAACGAGTCAGATATATCGTTCGTGTCTCTCCCCCCCCCCCCCCCGATGGTAAATCAGAAGGCGTGGGGTTAGGGGGGGGGGTGCGATCGCCAATGCTGCCCAATGTCTGCCAAGTGTCCATAGAGGGTTAACATCCTATATCTGTTACAAATATCGAAACATTCCAGCGTATCGTGTTGTATCGCGTATTTATAATTTAAAATACATACTGATGACAATATGCGATGACTGTCTAATTTTTAAGCAGCGCTGCCACTTTCTTGTTTTCACTTGCGACTGGTATACCATTATGCTGAGCTCCGTTTGCTCATATGTTAATTCCCATGTTTCACCAATCTGCGCTCGTCCCTCCTGTGTTTCCTGGCCGGCAGTCTGGCGGTGGCCGCCATTCCCGAGGGCCTGCCCATCGTCGTCACAGTCACACTGGCGCTCGGAGTGATGCGTATGGCCAACCGGAAGGCGATCGTCAAGAAACTGCCGACCGTCGAGACACTGGGTGAGTGGTCGGTATTCCCGATAACCCTCGCCGGCCGAGGGGGGGGGCGGGTGCCGCCCCCCCCATAGGGTTTTTTCGCGATAGCTCCGAACACGCTGGCGATAGAAAGCTGAAACTTGGCATACCTGACCTTTGATCCAAGCCGCATCTTTTGACACCAACCGCATTTTTGGGTCAGGTCAGGTCACTGACCTATGACGTCATAAGTGAACCTCTGCACGGTCTTCAGATGTCGCAACTTCGCAACGCCCTCACTGCCAGAGGAGATGTCACAGGGAAATGAAACTTGCAGGATCTAGTATCCATTATGAGTCCCACAACTTGTATATCTCGGATTTTTTCTAAAGGTCATATGAGGTCAGGTCATTTTCGTGACCTCACCATTATAAGTCAATGGGGAAAAATGAAAACTGCTATTCTGGCGCCGGGGACGATCTCCAACTATCTCAAGCACACAGAATCGTGATTTGATGCACTCCTTGCAAGGTAAGATGCGTCACTTTTGCAATGTTGACCTTGCGTGACGTCATTTATGACGTCATCAAGGTCATTTTTGTTTTTCGTCAATAACTCTTGATCAAATTGAGCTAGCGAGTCGAAAAAGCCACCAATGGACTCAGGAAGGCCTGCCGAATCGAATGATATGCGACATGACCTCTTCCGACCAACTTCGTGACCTTGGGGTGCTGACCTGACCTTGACCTGAGGTCAACACCCCAAGTTGACCTGACCCGGACAAAAAGTATATCATTCGACGCGCCTGGACGAGGCGAACACGATGCTGCCAAAATCGGCGCTCTGCGGCCATTTTTTGCGAAGTTATTCACCAAAAACTGAACCGTACCTTGGGGCACTTGACCTGACCTCAGAGGTCACCGGTTGACCTAGGACCTTAAAATCGGGTACCAATCTCTGCGTCTCGTAACGGCGCACACGCTCGTTTTTTCCGCGACGCGCTAGCTCCACCAGGGGCGAAACGGCGAGGGGGGGGTCGTACCCGCCCCCCCCCCCTCGGCCGGCGCGTATGTAGAAAACCAATAGGTCCGGCGAGGGATAAACCATCAGACTCCGAGGCAATAAGAGGATCAGTCAGAGAATGACCCTGCTGAAGACCCGAGAGAAGACTGACAATGAACCTGTGTCTGAGTCATTCAATGTTATGAAGCTACCATTACATTTTTTAATTAACCCATGTTATCGATGCGCCAGGCTGCGTGAACGTGGTATGCTGCGACAAGACGGGCACGCTGACGACCAACGAGATGACGGTGACGTCGATCGTCACGGCCGAGGGCTACCAGTGTGACGTGACGGGCGTGGGCTACAGCGCGCACGGCGAGATCCGGCCCGTCACAGAGAACATGGAGCAGTGCAAGTACTCGCTCTACGGACTGTTCGAGGTCAGCCCCGCGCGACAGTTTCAGTGCAGTCGTGGATGCCGTGTCTTTACATGCGATTAGTTATAGCACAGGTCATATCATGCTCTGATGTGCTGCACCCTACCTCATGGGGCACGGTCATCATGATGGATTTCGCTTCACGCTTATCTTACCCCTATCGATTGTAAACCCTCACGTATTTCCCCACTCTTCGTATGAAACGTGCACTGAAGCCAATAACTTAATCTGCTCCTGCTCCCCGCCAGGTGGCTCTGCTGTGCAACAACGCCGACTTTACGGGCGACACGCTGAAGGGAACGCCAACAGAGGGCGCGCTCCTGGTGGCCGCCAAAAAGGTGTGTGCAACCGACTCGTCCTCTAAGGACCTGCGCATCACTACTATGAACGTCAAACCGCTTGAGACCCCACTTTTTTGTGATAATTTTTAAATGCGTCAACTTTCGTTGACAATATTCTGGCTATGTATGTTTCAGAACCTGCCGAAACTTTTATTACAAAGGTATTTTGACGCCAAACGATTATGGAAGGTACTTCTCATTCACTCGTAATGCTAAGGTCAATTCAGGCCCGGGCAGAGGCTTGCGCTCGGCCACACTCGAGCCCCGCCACCAGCGCCATCTGCTCTAAATGCCATCTACCAGCGCCCGCTACCGCTACCAGCTACCGACCACCATCAAGCCTGAATGGAGCGAGGGACACGAGTGACCGGTCGCCGGGCAAGGAGCGCCGGAGGGGTAGGGCGGAGCTTAGCGCTGACGTCATTACGTGGCTCCGCCCCATGAGCGCGTAGCCTCTACCCAAACAGCAGATTCGTTCCGTGAAATTTAACATTACGCGTGAATGAGAAGTACCTTTCATAATCGTTTGGCGTCAAAATACCTTAGTAATAAAAGTTTCGGCAGGTTCTGAAACACACATTGCCAGAATATTGTCAACGAGAGTTGACGCATTTTAAAATAATCGCAAAAAAGTGGGGTCTCAAGCGGTTTGACGTCTATAGTAGTCGTTTGGATATGCAAAATAGTCTTGGAGCTTGGGTTTGTTTTTTCAATAGAAAAGCAATTTTTACGAAGTGTTTTTAACTATTGAAGGTTACTGTAGACAGCGAATCGTTAGAAGGCCGGTCAGGGTTACATTTTTATGCGTTAACGAAATTTGTCCGCTTCCGGACAAGTCAACTACCTTCCCATTACGATTCAGTCTTAGAGCAGCCTGACTTATTTCGACAATGAAGTACCTGTCATTTCTGATGTCGCTCCAACGGCCGCCGCTGTCCGTTCCAGTTCGGCCTGCACGACCTGCGCCAGACGTCTCAGCGTCTGGCCGAGGTGCCGTTCCGCTCCGAGACCAAGGTCATGATGGTGAAGGCTACCAAGCCGGGCGAGTCCACCGAGCTGTGGTACTGCAAAGGCGCCCTGGAGAACCTGCTGCCGCGCTGCTCGGCCTACTCGGTCCACGGACGGCCCGAGCCGCTGACGCCGTCACGAATGGAGAAAATCAAGGCCGAGTCGTACGAGATGGGCCGGCGCGGCCTGCGCGTGCTGGCACTGGCGCGGGGACGCGAGCAGGATAACCTGGAGCTGGTCGGCATGGTGAGTGAAGTGATAGCACAAGGGTGACTCAAAATAAAATGATCATTCGTAATGCTTTTGAAAGGATCACGTACCTTGTTTGCTTTATATCGTCACATAGCTCGTGAGCCTTCAGGTGTGTAAGGCATTATTCTTTTACAGTATTTCCTATCGAGTACCTTGTTACAAGGCGACCGATTTGCTAACCAGCGCTGACTTTGTGTCCCAGGTGGGCATCATGGACCCGCCTCGGCCGGGCGTGCGAGACCAGGTGCTAATGCTACAGATGTCCGGAGCCCGGGTCAAGATGCTCACAGGAGACGCGCGCGAGACAGCCTGTGCCATCGGTGAGACGTCCAATGTATATTGTTACTTCCCCTTAGCCTAACAAAAACGCAGTATCATCTGTTGTCAACCGTATGCGATCCCTCTACCCAAGGGCGTGAGCTTGTGACGTCCTATTTACCTGCTCATTCGCTTGCATAAACTGCATCTTAAATTGTGTCGCCCGCTGACGATTGTTGCCGTGTGCAGGCGTACAGCTGGGCCTGCCGGTGACGTCCAACTCGGTGATCAGCGGCGACGAGATGGACAGGTGGAACGACCACCTGCTGGAGGAGATGATCGACAACATCACCATCTTCTACCGCATGGCGCCCAAACACAAAGTCAAAATCATCAAGGTACGATTGGTGATGAGATTCAGCCGGTCGATGAGTTGCATTGTCACCATGACCGTCGTAGATGATAATATCGTGGATATCGTGGGTGAGTAGCGGATAATCGCCAGTTATATACTCGTAGTACATTTCTTTATGTTTTTATCATGATTTTTTATCATGATAATGTTTTTTATCATGATAATGTTTTTTATCATGATAATGGTGGCCGACCCAGTGTGTCCGAATCCTTTTCTATTGACCTTGCCAACATCTGATGATGCACCATATTTCTGTGTACAGGCGCTGCAGGCCAAACACTACATCGTGGCAATGACCGGTGACGGTGTAAACGACGGCGTGGCTCTGAAGAAAGCCGATATCGGTATCGCCATGGGCAAAGTCGGTACAGATGTCAGCAAAGAGGCGGCCGACATGATCCTGGTCGATGACGACTTTACCACCATCATGTGAGTGAAAGGCGGCTAGGAGCCGGAAGTGTGAGGGTTTCCTGTAAAGCTCAAGTCGGTGCACGCTCTCAGGAAATCAGGAACTATGGAGCAAGTTGCAGAACTGAAAGCATGCCGCAGTCCCGACTAGGCGCAGTTCCTATTGATCCTTCATTTTTCATTAATTGATAAGACTTGAATAATTATAGTGATTGATTCGAGCTGCACGGCGCTAATTGAATTCCGGAGCCTTCCCTAGATGTTTGGTGCCTCAATAATGACGAATATTTGCGTTTTCAGGAGCGCCATCGAGGAAGGCAAGGGCATTTTCTACAACATCGGCAACTTTGTGAAGTTTCAGCTGTCGACCAGCATCGCGGCGCTGTCGCTGATCGCCCTGTCCACACTGCTGGGCATCCCGAACCCGCTGAACGCCATGCAGATTCTATGGATCAACATCATCATGGACGGCCCGCCCGCTCAGAGGTGAGGCCGGCTGTAGATATTAGATAGTGCGTAAAAGCTTACAGTGGGAAGCACATGTCTTCTTGCAGGCTTCGTCTTTCCCACATTGAACCAGATTCCTACTAGGCACTTCTCTCTTCGACACATCGCTTGACGGAGCCGTTAAATGTTTAGTCTTAGCTTCTTTCTCATCGGTACTCTGAAAATCGCTGCCTTGATTAATGTCGCATTCAGATACTTCCCTAGGGTCCCAATATTGTACTTGCTTGTATCCAGACCGGACTCGTTCCCTCCTATAGTCTGGGCTTTGAGCTGTTGAACTGGAACTCTGGAACTTGCTAACCGATGTATGGTCTGACCCATCCCCCGGAGTCTGGGCGTGGAGCCGGTGGATCGGGACGTGCTAACCGCTGTATGGTTTGACCCATCGCCCCCGCTCCCCCTCCCCCTCCTCGCAGTCTGGGTGTGGAACCGGTGGACAGGGACGTGTTGAAGCAGCCGCCGCGCGACGTCCGGCAGTCGATGATCACGCGGTCGCTGCTGCTGAACGTGCTGCTCTCGGCGTCCGTCATCATCTGCGGCACGCTCTGGGTGTTCCAGAGGGAGGTGAGAGACCGGGGACGGCTGCCTGCTCCAGCGGCTGTTGGAGCTCCAGCTCCAGCAGTCAGTGGACGGTGGTTGAGGATATTTGCCTTTGACATCGGGTGATCTCGAAACGCGCTGTAGAGGAGATGCGTTACTTAGCTGTGGTGCTCTTCGTCCATGCAGTCTTTTCGTCGAACTCTCAGCTCTCTGCTGACACTTGCTTTTTTCCCAGATGAGTGACAACATCATCACGCCACGGGATACCACCATGACGTTCACCTGTTTCGTGTTGTTCGACATGTTCAACGCGCTCAGCTGCCGCTCTCAGGTAAGCCACGCGTGTTTCCGCTGTCAGCGCTTTTCCCAGAGGTTCTATCGCTAACAATCTCGACTGTTCCTGGCGCTCGCTCGTTGGAGCCTTTGTATCAGTCATTATCATTCCATGCCTCTGACACACCTGCGACTGTCTCGCGTCCGCAGGTGAAGTCGGTGTTCACCATCGGCCTGTTTTCGAACAAGTTCTTTTTGCTGGCGGTGGGCGGCTCGCTGGTTGGTCAGCTGTTTGTTATTTACTTCCCGCCGCTGCAGCGTGTGTTCCAGACCGAGGCCCTTTACCTGTCGGGTAAGTGATGGGAATTGTTTAATTGGGGGGGAGGTGGGAACGGTTAGTAGGGAAGGGGATGCAGTGTTTAGAAGGGAATATTATGTAGGAGCCATACAGGGGTCATTCTATACTCTCCTGCAACTACAATTACTCAATAACACCGAATCGTTCGTCCCTAAGCCCAAACCACTACCATCACATAACGCGACGCGTTCATTGCTGCAGATCTGGTGTACCTGCTGGCCATCACGTCCAGCGTGTTCGTCGTCTCCGAGGTGAAGAAGTACCTGGAGCGCAGCGGGCGCAACAGCCGACCGGCCAAGTCTCACGCCAAGAGCGGCTTCAACCGCACAGATATGGTGTAGCGTCACTCATGACAGTCCCCTCGGACTAAACTCTAGTTATCCTTATATACGGCAGCCAACACAGAAGCTCGCCGAAACAGTGTGATGAGACTTACGAGGCACTTTGACGGCCGAATATACTGCAGTGCAACCATAGCGGCAATTATGTGGGTGTGTCTGGTTCGGGCTGGGGGTGGTTGAACCCGTCCGGTGACTCGGAATCTGACAGGGAGCGGGTTAGTGTGATGTGTCCATGTGTCTGTGAGTGTGCGGCTGTTTTGGCCCGGTCAGGGTAGCCCGCAGTGCGGAGGGCTCAGGACCGCGCGGCGGGCTGTGTTCACTTCTTGCCACCGGCCCAGTGGTATGTCCTAGCTGGGCGAGAACTGGCATTCAACGGGCTTTACGGGCGGTTTTAGGTTGTCGATGTGTTGTCGTTCCTTTAGGGATTATGTGGTGCGATTGGTGACGGCGACCGAACAATGTCGCTTTTGAATTGTATGTACATGATTGGTCAATATAATATTATACTCAGACATGCAAGCAGCAGTTTGTGGTGATGATGCTCCATTATCATATTTGTGTCATTTTTTTACGTGATTTCGAGACAGGGTCACGTCGAAGATTCTAAACAAGGATACTAAGGCCACCGCTCGATAGCGACGAAATCTCACGTAAATCACAAATTGGAAAAAAGCGGAGCCAATATGCTCTCGGCGCAACCTATGCACCTACCTGACACACCGCGGGATATTTGGATTGCGTATTCCCCACTCTCAACCGGTGTTTCAAGTTATCAACGGGCTCGGTTACTAAGGCGATAAGGGTATGTACTATGTGGGGGAAAGGGGTTAACCAGTGAGCCCCGACACTTCTCACAACTTTCTCAGTCTCTTCACGACGTTGATCCTTGTTTTAAGAACACTCTCCGCTCACTGTGTATTATTTTATTTATTTGCGAATCGTGACGTCCAAACACGTTGGTTATTACAACAGTCATGGCACAGTTTACAATAATAACATACGATAACATCTCGTTAGCGCCAGAGGGTTGATATAAGCTATGATAGCGAAGTCATACACAGCAGCTTTAAGGGAAACTGATAGGAAACTATGAGGAAAAGCGTTATTTCTGATCAAACAAGAATGAATTGAAAGCAGTACCGTCGCGATTTTAAGGAGGCGTATCTCGCCTACGTTCCCGCCTCAATAATCGAGTTGACCTTCGATTATTTCAAGTCAAACGATAAAGCAAGCAAAACGTTCTCCGCGCCGTGTGCAAAAGTAAAAAAGCAAGCAGCCGTGGACTCGGTCGGTGGAGGGCGGCGCCTTTTGCAAACCGCATTGCATCTCACAGGGCCACCGAGCGTGTCATCCAACAGTGACACAGTAATGTTGATCAGAACGGCCCTCGGGCGAGCCGCACAGCCCTCTGACGGAGCTGGGACGCGCACCATACTCTCATGCCTACATACGGTCTCTTCTACTCACGGTCTCTATCACTGGTTATTTGGGTGCGCGGCCGAACAGCTGCCAACGCCGGTAATAAAAGCTCATAACGTCACAAATATCGGCGCTCTCCGCCAACAGGAATGCACGTGGAATAAACCTAGCCATACCTATCGTACGCTGCCATGTATGGTTAGGGTCGCGCGGTCAGAAAACGAGCATGGCGCGGCGCCCCGTTAAAGCGATTATGCTGCGGGCTAGCTGCGTGGCAGTGGTGGGCGGCGGTCCGCTGGCCGGCAGCCGGCCGGGCGGAGCGCCTCAGTGCCGGAAGGACGGGGCGCCGCGCCTGGCGGGTCACCGCGCCGCGCGCTCCCGACCCTCCCGTTCCTCGGCCTTCTGCCGGCGCCGCTCGGCCTTCTGACGCTTCTTCAGCTGTTTGTGGTGCTCACGAGTCATGGCGTCCTCATCGAGGTCCAGCTTTGTCATCTGCCAACAGGACAGCAACATTTGTAATCGCATTACAATACATAGGACAGACATATTCTTTATTCCACCTTATCGATATACCTACTCGTCTCTATGATCACACAGAGTTGAAGCATGTGAATTGTGAGATTCACTCACCTCCTGAACCAGCACCGACTCGCGCATGATTTCCGGCGGCAGGTTTCTGAGAAACTCGACCGTCTCGTACATGGTGGGACACTGTTTCAGTATGCCGCGCCGTCCGAGCGCGTACCGTATCAGCACCAGGCCGACCCTGAACAGGACCTTCACACCTGGCGGGCGGAGGGCGGGCGGAGCTCTCAGCGCATTAGTATATACTGCATTGACGTGAACGACTCGACGATCGTGTTGAAACCATCAATAATGTGCTGCTAGGTGTCAGTAGGAGCTACTATAATTGTATAATTATAGCTAGGTGCGATGCTGCTACTAGAGACATTAAGCTAGCTAGTAGCAACATAATGTGTATATTTTGCATAACCATTGATTCGAACGTTAATAATCATGGAATGTTTTCTGGATTTGGGCCTTACCTTCACAGAAGAACATGTCCCAGACGCGCAGAACAGAGGCCCACGGCAGCGTCCGGCTGTAGACGCACATGAACCACTCGACCATGTACAGCGCCGGGTCCAGCTTCTGCTTCTTCTGCACGGCACAGCACGGAAACGGCGCGGTCGTCAGGAGGGGGACGCTGTAATGGAAGCATTCCAGCAATGTGCACATTGCACAACACATCTGTACTTGAAGTAACTTTACAGTAATTCCGTAATAGGAACCGTTGCAGATGAAAATGTGTTGGTATAATTGTTGTGCCATCTAATTAATGTAAAACCTGATGCCGCATTTCTATTGATTTCCCAACCCTTTTAGTCTATATCACCAGTTTTCAGCTAACTCGAAGAGAGTAGGTACCACCTGTTGGATACCTGCCAACTTCTGCTAACTTGGAAAACAAGCGGAAGTAAAACCTTATAATACATGTAACGCTGCCGGCTGATAGGGAAATGTCGCACCGATGGTAGCATATGACTCACAAGTGTGGCAATGTTGCGCAATAACGACAGATAACCACACGGCAAATGGGGTTCTTACCAGGTGCCGATACACGTGCGGCGACACTTTCTTCACCAGTCCGTGTAGAATGTCGCCGTCCAGCTGGACGCGTTCCAGGCCCTGGCCGTAGTAGCCGGGCAGGTACTCCTTGCAGATGGAGACCAGGCACCAGAACGCCTGCTCGGTGGGCATGTGCATGAGCAGCACGGCGGCTAGCGGGGCCTGCGCCTGACTGTAGCCGTCCGAGGGGTTGTACACGGCGTAGGCGCGCAGCACCTTCATCAGCTCCTCCTGCCTGTCAGAGAGAGAGAAAAAAAAACAGGAACGTGTTAAATATCTACATGATAGCGTACCTAGTGTCACTGTTCACCAAACTGCAACATTAAGCACGATGTTTCAATGTCAAAAATACATTTTCACTAAAGCACTTTCATCAAGTTCAGGTCACTCAAATCACTCACCCATGCCCTCCTTTCCGCATGAACATCTCGTGCATGGGGAACTGTCTGTGCAGGTCGCGTCGGATCTCGTCCAACACCTGCGCGTCGATCGGCAGTTCCAGTAGCCGGTCGTAGGCACCCGCGTTGCGCTGCAGCATGTAGTAGCCGCCGCAGAGGTGCTGCCACGCCCTGGCACGCAGGGACGTCGGGATACCCTTCCGACACCGGCTCCGCACCTGTCAGACCGCCGAGCGCGCGTCTCCGGTCAGTTAGGAATAAGTAGAAAAAAAAAACACTGCAAGAATCGGGATATACTGATATTCTGATCGAAAGTGAAGTGTAGTGAAGTGCTATGTACTGATGAAAATTGATCAAATGATAGAAACAGTTGTAGTTACTCTGGCGAGGACGGAAGACGACACGTGGGGTGGTAATCCGCTGCCTTGGTCGTACGCACAAATGTGGCCGTACTCGTGACTGGAGAACGGTACCTATCTGACATAAGCCATGATAGTGAATCAATGAACATCTAACTTGGTAAATGTGTACTTTCAACCAGATTTTGTTATGCCTAGTAGCTAACGTAGGCAACTCACCTTTTTGAAGTTGTGAGTCATAAAACTGTCCCAGTGTTCCAGCATTTCCAGCCACTTGTGCTCCCTCTGTCGTAGCATCTTAACAGGCAGTTTCTCCTCCCTGGCAAGAAGCACATAAATCACAGAATTGGGTAAACGAGTGACACATTTTTATTGAATGAGTTTCCATTCTTTCAAACTAAAATGCATCACTTCATAAAGATCCCGTGCTTGACGATAAATGTCCACCGAAACCGTAACACAAAACAATATGATATCCAATTTGCTTATCTGCCACATCAGCAAATCTTCGAGAGAACAAGTTGAACTAAAAACGTTTATAGCCATTTCATCACCACATCCTCAGTGAGTACAAGCCCCAGCTCATGCCATGAATGCAATATGACCTACACTTCTGTGACAATTATGATAGACACACCCTGTGTGAAATGCAGGTACTTTTTGACATACTCACTCATAATGAACGTTGTCGCCATCGACGTGCATGAAGCCATACTTGTCTGGTATGGTGGAGACAGTCGAGATGGCAGCATTGGTGGCCTGCTCAGAGCTGGAGGTGGTCTCATCGTCTGACACATCCATTTCAGCTGCCGTCCCACCGGCCTTCTGAGCTGGCACCTCGGCCGACATGGTCACCTCCTTACACAGCAGGAGTAGGGGAACTGGATGCAGAGGAGAGGCGAATAGGAGGCAGGCTAACAGGGAAGACAAACTACAGTTCACGTAACACACACTGGTTGCCTGTCAGGGCAAAAGGAATGAAAAAGGGGAAATTTGCTTCACTGAATTTCTTCTCATACATGCAAGAACATAAAGAATTAAGTTTCATCTGGATATGATTTATTGTCATTGGGGACTGAGGTATCACATTATGCTAGCAAAGGCATTTGATTATACCTGAAAAGGAAAAAAGGGTTAGTTACCAGTCAGATCAGAAGCAAAGTGAGGTAAAGATAAATGTATCTCAATTCACTAGGAATGGAGACCTGCCACTGCCAGGATGTCAATTTGATGCCTACACATTTTACCAAAACAAATCTGAATGCCTGAGGAAGAGCACATATGGTGTGAAAAATGATCAAAGAATAATATTTTTAGAGTATAGCATCCAACTCTTTGAAAATGGGCTCACAGCCCCACAGTGGTACCTAGCATCCATGCTACACTAAAAATCAAGGCACCTACATAAATGCTGGCAATAATACTATAGTTTATAAGCAAACTTTATTTCATTTAATTTTCATGTTTGCAGACACCAGTAAGACAAAAATTTGCCACAATCCAGTCTCAAAATGTCATTTCTTATTCAGCTGGGAGTTGGGACAGTAATGTTGTTTTGCTAACCTTGCTATCTTTCATCAACCACCAGAGATACCTGGCCCAGGAGTAAGTGGGGTGCTAGGTGGCCAGTGGGTGTCAAGTTGGTGTAAACTGTAAGCCGTAAGGTGAGTTAATATTTGCTTTTTTCAATGACCATTAGTTTTTTCAACTCAGT